TACAATTTCTTTTCAGCCCGCAGATCGTATGCTTAATTCCTCTTGAGTTGACATCATTATTCATTCCCTTTATGGCCACATATTTAAGACAGACAAACTAAATTACATACCAGAGAAATTGTGCTATACAGCCATTTTGCATTCCCCTCAATATAGGTTCGCTTTGTGTTGTAAAGAGGTCTCTAAATGAAATATTAGTTCCAAAATTCCATTATTTCATAGTACTAAGTAATAAATAAAGAGCGGAGACCTTGAGCTGATTACCACTTTAGAGACCTTGCCCCTAGATGCTTTTCGATAAGAAAAGCACAACCTACTTTTACAGTGTAAGATCTTTCATACACATCACATTCTGTGAGCGGAATGCAGTTTATTGGATCTGCAGAAAAGGTCATGTTTGAATAAAATATAGATATAGTCTGTATAACATGCAAACTGAGTAGAGGTTCACAAATCACCAGAAATATCTAGTACTGCCGTGCTCTGTGTTCTCTCAGTCTCATATATGGTGAGAAAAGTAATGGAAAAACCTTAATTATAAGTACAGTGAGGTCAGAAGTAACCCATTGCTGGCAGAGGGCACAGCCACAAGTCCACACTTAATTCATTTTTTCTTAGACTTCACAAAATATAAAGGATAATAGTAAAAATATTGTGACAAGTCCCTTTAAGAACTTTAACCCCTTAAGGACCAAACTTCTTGAATAAAAGGGAATCATGACATGTCACACATTTCATGTGTCCTTAAAGGGTTAAATAGATAGATAGACAGATAGATAGATAGACTGGACAAAATTATAAATGCAACACTTTTGTTTTTGCCCCCATTTTTAATTTTTCTATGTACACAAAAGGCCTATTTCTCTCAAATATTGTTCACAAATCTATCTAAATCTGTGTTAATAAGCCCTTCTCCTTTGCTGAGATAATCCATCCACCTCACAGGTGTGGCATATCAAGATGATGATTAGACAGCATGATTATTGCACAGGTGTGATTTAGGCCGGCCACAATAAAAAAAAAAACACTAAAATGTGCAGTTTTACTGTATTGAGGTGGTCCGGGGACTGCCTCACGCAGTGTAACACATCATCTTCCCACAGAGTTAATCAGGTTGTTGATTGTGGCTGTGTGAAGTTGCGGGATATTGGCGAGACCTGGAACACTCTGTCGTATATGCCGATCTAGAGCATCCCAAACATGCTCAATAGGTGACATGTCCGGTGAGTATGCTCTCCATGCAAGAACTGGGATGCTTTCAGCTTCCAGGAATTGTGTGCAGATCCTTGCAACATGGGACCATGCATTATCATGCTGCAACATGAGGTGGTGGTTGTGGATGAATGGCACAACAATGGGCTTCAGGATCTCATCATGGTATCTCTGTGCATTCAAAATGCCATCAATAATACGCACCTGTGTTTGTTGTCGATAACCCCTCTGCCACCATGGGCCACTCGATCCACAATGTTGACATCAGCAAACCACTCACCCAAAAGAAGCCATACACACTGTCTGCCATTGGCAGTGTACAGTGAAAACCGGGATTAATCCGTAAAGAGAACAACTCTCCAAAGTGTCAGACACCATTGAATGTGAGAATTTGACCACTCAAGTCGGTTACGATGATGAACTGCAGTCAGGTCGAGACCCCGATGAGGATGATGAGCATGTAGATGAGCTTCCCTGAGAAGGTTTCTGACAGTTTGTGCAGAAATTATTTTCTTATGCAAAACGATTGTTGCAGCAGCTGGCTGGTCTCAGGCGATCTTGGTGAAGATGCTGGATGTTGAGATCCTGGGCTGGTGTGGTTACATGTGGTCTGTGGTTGTGAGGCTGGTTGGATGTACTGCCAAATTCACTGAGACTCCTTTGCAGACGGCTTATGGTATAGAACATTCAATTCACGGGCAACAGCTGTGGTGGACATTACTTCAGTCAGCATGCCAATTGCACCCTCCCTCAAACCTGTGCTGTGTGATTAAACTGTACATTTTAGAGTGGCCTTTTATTGTGGCCAGCCTAAGGCACACCTTTGGAATGATCATGCTGTCTAATTAGCATCTTGATATGCCTCACCTGTGAGGTGGATGGATTATCTCGGCAAAGGAGAAGTGCTCACTAACACAGATTTAGACAGATTTGAAGACAATATAGGAAAGAAATAGGCCTTTTGTGTACATAGAAACAGTCTTAGATCTTTGAGTTCAGAACATGAAAAATAGGGTCAAAAACAAAAGTGTTGCGTTTATAATTTTGTTCAGTGTAGATAGATAAAATTTAAAAATTAACTACAATTTAAGAATTCTAAGATATTGCTCCATAATTTTGGAAATAGTAAGAGATGTTCCTGACAACTCCTAGTTATTTAAAACATTGCATTTTGCAGGACGTGCTTGGAAACCAGAGCAATCTGAATGTACCTTTCCTGGTTAAATACTTTGTTATTATTATTATTATTATTATTATTATTATTATTATTATTATGACAAATTGAAAACAATCCTTGTTCAAAGAAATGTGCGCGTTCATAAGTGTGGTTATTCAGCTCCCATTGCATATTCTTTGTCCATAAAAAGTATGTTCTGACTCTTTGAGTGACCTTTTAAAACTCTTTATAAGTTCTGTCTCCAAGTGGACTACTCAGCTTTGTTTTATTAAATCAGCTTCATTATCAGCTGTAAAGTAATAACCACTTTGCTCTAATGATGGAAATGCCACATTACCATTCACTCAATCAGATATTATCTGCACTGCCATTTCCATTGGTCAAAAAAGCAACATTCATTCGCTATCTTACATTAACTCTAAAAGCAAAGTGCTACCTGCATCCTTAATGACCTAATTAATGACAGTGGCGAATCTATCCATTTACTTCGGAGGATGACTGACTGGCAAAGAAGATTGTAAGACATATTGTGTCCTTTCAGGACAGTGTTATCTCAACTTGCCATACACAATGTGGGATTCCTACAAAACTAATAGTTGTTAAGGTATTGGCAGCTAATTGCTTTTTAGTATGACTCTCTGCTGACATAACTGTCTACCTTGTAAAATGCTCACCATCTGCTGTCCCACTATACAAATCCCTCCACAAAAATTCAAAAATCTTAATATTGTCTTCTAATGTGCATAATTAAACATCTAAATTATTCCTACATGCCTCATCCATTATCTCCAAATATTTCCTCATATATCCCTTGGTACTTTCTTTGACCTACAACAATGTTTTTTACTCTTGAAGGTATGATCTACCTGAACAACACTGATGTTTAATAATGCACAGAGTGAAATACGTTGCCTTTTATCAGCAGTATTCTGGTTCGCAAAGTGCTATTTAGTTTAAAGTGGCACTGTCATGCCAAACTTACCTTTCCCCAATCGATACCTCTTCTCTCCCTCTGTCAGGATCTGTTCTTCATTTCTTCCTGTCTGCTCTAGTTTTCTTTAATTCATAAAACAAAGTTTTCCTATGCCTGACCATCTATGACCAGCAGAAGAGCGAAGTGTTCTCCGTTTCCTGTGGTCAGATAAATTTTCCCACAATTCTTACCTTTTCTCCATGATCTTGCGATACTTCCTGTCTGTATTCCCGAACGTCCTGTCACTTTAGACAGAACGCCGGCAAAACTACCAAATTTCGTCCTAACAGAATGAGAACAGTTTCTCCATTAATGTTAGGACACAATTTGGGATTTTGTTCGGATCGGAATTAAATTTTAATTAATGAAATTCCGATCTATTCGTGCCGTGGCTGCATCTTGTAGCCGCTTAGTAGATAGCTCCATATTTTTTTCTCTTTCAGTCAATAGTCTTTCAGCCAAATTTACAAAATGTCAAATGTACTAATATTAGTAGACATGCCTCTACTACCATTCAATGAGTAGGGGCAGGTCTACTAAACAGTGAACAGCCAGTGACTGCTCATTGTTTAAAAAAAAGTCCCCTAGTGTCCCCCCTCCCGAGCCCCCACCCGTGCCTTACAAGTGGGGCCTATTAATCTGAAGGGGGGACCTAGCATTTGGGTGGGGGCCCTAACTGAAAATGGGGGGGACCTATTGTCATTGCCCCTGGCCCCCACCCATAAGCGGCAGGTGAGGGCCCCATCCAGCCCCCACCCATGAGTGGTGGGTGGGGGCCCTAAATTAAAATGGGGGGACCAATTGTCCCCCCAGGGACCCACCCATGAGCAGCGTCCCCCCACCCATCTATTGTCCCCCCACCCATAAGTGGTGTGTGGGGGCCCTAAATGTGATTGGTTGCTTTTCATATCACAGTGTTATGAGTCATATTACACAGCATGGGAATATTTCAAAGAACTTTCCCACACTGTGTAAAATGACACAGAGCACTCTGATTGGTTGGATTTCAGTTAAACACTAAATTGAAAACAAAGAAGCAAAATAGAGCCAAATTAAAGGTACACTTAAAGAACGGGGGTAACCCCAAATATAACATAAAGGAACACAGGTAGTGTACCTAGGTAGTATAGATAGTCAACTCTCAAGATTAAAGAGTGAGTGTTTGGGTCTACACAGAGAATAACTGTCAGACAAAGCACTTGACTGATAGATTGAAAGAAAAATAAATACATTTTATTATAAGTAAATAATACCGAAAAAACAAACGTGCTAGTGTACAAAAAGTGCACCTATAGTAGGTACTAAAACTTATTACCCCAAAACAAGTATCCTAATGATATAAAAACAAATAGTCCAAATGGTCAGAACAAATGGTCAAACGGTACTAAAATGTGAAATCTGCTAGTAGGGATTTCAGGTAAGTATATTAGTATCAAGTGTCAGCCAGGATATTATCCAATAATGTATGTGTTGAAAATGTCCTTCTAATTGCTTGGTATAAAGAAATCACGTATATTGAAAATATTGGTAACTAGTGATGTCCCGAACGGTTCGCCACGGACGGCGAACATATGCGCTGTTCGGTCCGCCCCCTATTCGTCATCATTGAGTAAACTTTGACCCTGTACCTCACAGTCAGCAGACACATTCCAGCCAATCAGCAGTAGACCCTCCCTCTCAGACCCTCCCACCTCCTGGACAGCTCACTAAGAATGCAGCTTCACAATGAATGTAAAATGGATGCTGTCCAGGAGGTGGGAGGGTCTGGGAGGGAGGGTCTGCTGCTGATTGGCTGGAATGTGTCTGCTGACTGTGAGGTACAGGGTCAAAGTTTACTCAATGATGATGAATAGGGGGCGGACCGAACAGCGCATATGTTCGTCATCCATGGCGAAACGTTCAGCGAACCGTTCGGGACATCACTATTGGTAACCTGTTTGAATGAATGTCAGTCTCCGCATGACTGACAGGTGAACCCTAGGCGGCTTAGTATGTGTGAAGTGTAGCTTGAAAACTAAATATCAGCTGATATATTCAAATACCCAAAGTCTGGGGAGCTTAATAAGAGTTCTAGTTATACAAGAAGGTCACTATTATTCATATTGACCCCCATAGAGTGAGGGAGGACATGGGGCCTTAGGAAGTGGCAGGGAACACTGCTCCCTGCCACTTCTATTTCTACACATTACAAGGAGAGGGCTGCGCATTAGTAGCTTCCTCCTTGTAATAAACCAAATGAACGAACAAAGAGGTCTTTGTTCATTTGTTTGAAATTTCTATTCATTTATTCGTCTTTCTGACGAATGAATGAAGAGATGAAATTCCCTTTCGCATTCCCAAGTTTTTAACTGGGCATGTGCAGTAATTTCACAGCACTATCTAGTGTGGGCAGATGACGTGTCCCACAGGGACCTTGGTCCGGGCACAAAACAAAGATGCAAAAAATAGGTAATATTAGGGGGGCTTAGGAGCATTTGGGTGTGACTAGGGGGGCAATTATATGTAGTTGAGTCGGGAGGGGGGGTTAAAAAAAAAGTGCCAGTGCTACTTTAACCCCTTAAGGACACATGACATGTGTGACATGTCATGATTCCCTTTTATTCCAGAAGTTTGGTCCTTAAGGGGTTAAACAAAACTCAAATGTCCTTTAAGAACAAGCAATTTGACCCTAATTATCCCTCAATTGTATGTGTATGGCAAATGCAGTGAAAGAAAAAATCTTTTTTTTTAAAAAAAAGCATAAATAATATACTTATACACACATAAATAGGTAAAAGAAAAAAAATTAAAACTAGATAATCATGAACTTATATTTGCCTCCTGCAATTGCCTCCTGTTTTTCAAAAGCAAATTGAATGCATCAATTTACTGGTGGCTGGTTGAGTTTTAAATTGGTGAGACACTAGACTTGATTCTACCTGGAATTTAAATCTGTTCACTTACATGCACTAAACTTCTGACCCAGTGTGATGTTATGCCCTATCTAATACCATAAGCCTTTCGATACAGTGCCCTCCAATAATATTGGTACCCTTGGTAAATATGAGCAAAGAAGAAAATTTGTCTTTATTGTTTCACGTTTTGTTAAAAAATTCACAAAAAATACTCTGCTTTTATGAATATCAAACAATTGCAAACAGAGCACAGATTTATAAAAAAAAACAATTGTTAAATATATGTGTTGTGCATTTATTGGCACCCATTTAGTCAATACTTATGCCACCTCACTTTGCCAAGAGAATAGCTCTGAGTCTTTTCCTATAATGAGGTTGGAGAATACATGGCAAAGGATCTGAGACCATTCTTTTATACATAATCTCTTGTAACGGAGCTTCCTGTACCCCAGGTGGGTACTTCTGCCTATGGATGCTCCTAGTGCTTACCGAGGGCTCCATACACCATAAGTACTGCAGACCCCATGAACAGCCGCAGCTTAGTTGGGGTCTTGCCATCTCCTACCCACCCTGGACCTATGACAAGGCTCCAGGTTCCAGTAGGTGAACCTCTCTTTCTTCAGAGAGTGTAGCAGGAACAGCTCTTACAAGAGCTAATCAGTAAAAGAGAAAAAGCAAGGAGAAAACAATCTAATTGCTTAAACCAGGAGTGGATACCAACACCCAAAGAATAATAAAAAATAAAAAATAAAAAATATATGTATTAAGGCCTTTTGGCCTGTAATTGTGGGAGGGGCGTATGACTCACCTTCTCCCTACTTAAGGGACACCCCTTACCTGGCTCCATACCGTTCGAGGTCAGCGCTGCATCGAGAATCCACTTCCGGTTCACGTACGGCGCCATCTTGCTTTTCAAAAACCCGCGGTTTTCGTTTGGTGTAGCTGTGTCCAGGAATCCTTACAGGTTTTCCGCCCGTTCAGCCACGCACATACCCGGTGTTTTCGTCGCAGATTAAGTCCACAGGACTTCAAAATCGTAAGTCCGTCGCCCGGATCATTTCCCACGGCGTCGCGATTTAAAACGGCCTTACTTTACGGCCACACGCTTTACGGCCAAGTCACAGGCATATTAACCCCTTTGCTGCCGGCAGGCATATCGGTTTCGGTTTTTCTTTGTATTATACAATTTGTTCTGCATATCATCAGCTATAATTGGTTTCATGTTATTACTGTTATTTATTTTATGCAAATTTCGAAATCCTTGCATATGACTGGGGCAATACCCCTGTTAACTACTTATGAATAAGTATTTATTTAGGTTATGGTTTAATCTTAGCAGATATGGCATTATTAAAGTTTTATTGAAATTCTTCATGTTATATACATATATTTATGGAGTTAAGCTTAGACAAGCTTTTACATTTTACAGATATCGCTTGTAGGATTTACGTTATAAATTATGTTTAGAAATTACGTTTCTATCATACCATGTACTCACGTTTCTTACATGGCACTTATATATTCTGACTTTTTCTTTGTGTACTCAAACGACATACCAAGTACACAAGAACACGGTCTCACAAATCTCACAAACTTTCGGGTTGAATCACACGTCTTGATTCAACCACTCATACGTCACGTTGTTTCCTAATTTGGGATAACTTCTCAAATATTTCTGTACCTCGTACTTACCTCTTTTCATGACTTACGTTTACGGCCTAACATATACGGTATTGTTTTAAATCCTGCACCTTATTATACCACAAACACTAGCATTACTATATCATACGCATTAATCTGGTCACCATAGAGACATATCATACACACCCCCAAGCATGATTACCATACCACATACAGGGCCAGTCGGGCCAATATCATTCATGTATTCCCTTTCCATATGTACTACTAGAACTCATCACAAATAACTAGTCTAAATTGGTATCATAGGATCCAATTCTCACACTATCATATTTGGTTTTTCTATCCCTTTAGGTTTTTCCAGTTTTTCTCTACCTATCGCTTATCAAACGCATACATACTACCAGGTACGTTAAGCCTGCTCACGCCATACATCACATATGGTTCCTCCTCTACTTAGGACATAGAGTACTGGCAATTTTAGGGGTTATAGGCCCAAATAGGTATCCCCCCTCCGGGCATTCTGCCTATCGTTTAGTGGTCCGCGAGGCCAACACCCCGCCTCAACGTTTCGGAGGTAATGCCCCCCGGGCCACACGTGAGTTAGCCGCCTCGCATTATAGAGAGGGTGCCACCTGTCACTCCCTTCCCCTGTTTTCTTGTATTGTCACCGAGAGGCCTACGAATTCCTGCCACTACGTCGGGTGGCCTCAATAACCCCTCGCGCCAACGCATAGATAGAGCCTCTCATAGCCACTTGGCAACTAGCAGGGCCTCACCTGTCACCAAAGAACAAGTTTAATTTTTCGCCTCATCCGGCATAATTAGCCTGCCAGTACATCCCCTCGGGGGGTTTTATGCTAACCATATACTTTGTAATCTAGTATGTCTCAAGAAGGGGTAGAGGATTTCTCCATCCCAAGGACTCCGGCTAGAACCAACACCCCATCACAGGAGGAAGATACGGCTAGTCCAGCATCTTTCAGATCATGGACTATCCCTCGTATCACTAGCGAACTCAGGAGACGACAAATCCCTTTTCCAGCAACAGCAAGGAAAGCGGAACTTTACAAATTATTACACACCTCAACTGATAACATGGACGCTGGGGAAGGGTCGAGCCAGTCCCACCCAGGGAACATACATGACATGCTCACGTCCCTCATGACATCCATGAGCAAGGTCAATTCTAGGCTGGAGAAACTTGAATCGGTCACTACAGCCCTCACTATGGCTGGACCGGCCACGGCAATTCCCCCATCAGTGGTGGAGTCGCAATCAGTTTCTCCAGCTATCACCTCGGATGACCAAGAAGTTTACCCTGCCCACATGATTCCTGAGCACCTCAGGAGAGATATCCTGGAAGGTAAAGATGTCAATCTGGCCTCACTACTAATTGCCTCCCAGGATATAGTGGAACATAAGACCTACGCTTATGACGATATTTCTGTGGTGGTCAAATCCAGGGATGCACGATTAAATAGGAAGCTAACCATTCCTGAATTTGTATTAGCTTTTGGCATTTATCGGGATGTGGTCTGTACGGTATATCCCCACAGACGTGAGGAGTTTGACTTATATATGCACAGGCTGGTTGATCTGGGCAACAAATATGGTGGGTCAGCTTTCTATGACTACCATAGATCTTTTTCTGCCAAAGTGTCTGGCGCCTTCTCACAGTACGGGACAAGGTCCAACTGGAGTAAGATTGATACGATCATTTTTGCAGGCACTTTGCAGGTCTAAGAGCACCGGCCTGTGCACACTGCTCCTCCATGGCTCATACTGCCAATTTTTGTCCGACCACTGCAAACGAACCTACCACCTCGCAGGGCACTAGCTCCGCTGTGTCAGCAGAGAGAACACCCAAAGACAAACTGGGTCGACCTATCAAGTTTTTGGGGAAGTCCCAAATATGTAATAATTTCAATGTCGGTGCATGTAATTACAGCGGTTGTCGGTTATTGCATATATGTTCAAAATGTTTTAGGGCACATGCGAAAACCATGTGTCCAAATAAAATGTACCCTAAGCAATACTTAACTGAGATAAATATTTCTGTACTCACGGCATTACTGTCACGACATCCATCTAGACATTTGGTAGACTTCATCATCACTGGTCTATCACAAGGATTCCATACTGGTCTCATACACATGCCTTCAGGAATCCTTGAATGTCCTAATTTACAATCTGCACAACAAAACCCTACAGCGGTTAGCACACTCATAGCCAAAGAAGTGGCAGAGGGCTTCCTATTGGGACCCTTTCAGT